GCGGGGCAGGACCTGGGGAGCCCTCAGGTGCAGGTGCCCTTTGGGCAGATGACGGGCCCGGAGCCGCCCAGGCTCACAGCTAGCGAGGGCGGAGGGGCCTGATCACCCCAGGATCAGGGCATCCAAGGGCCACATCCAAGAGCACACGGGTGTGGGGTGGCCCTGGGGGAGGGGGTCTCTCCTCCATTCACCTGCCCAGGGCACCCGGCCTCTGGGAGGTCACCTGAGCCCATGGAGAAAACATAATCAGCTCACAGGTCAGCGCTCATCTCACCCAGCTGCTTCCCACACGCTCCCTTCCGCCCTGGCCGGTGTGGCTCAGTGGATAGAGCCTCGGCCTGCAGACCGAAGGGTTCCGGGTTGGATTCCGGTCAAGGGCATGTACCTGGGTTGCAGGCTCCTCCCCGCCAGGGCTGTGGGCCGGTGCGTGCAGGAGGCAACCAGTTGATGTGTTTCTCTCCGTCTTTCCCACTCTCTCTAAAAATCAATGGGGGAAACATCCTCGGGTGAGGATATGCAAATAAATAAATAATAAGACGCCCCCTTCCTCCAGGAAGGCCTGGAGCATGAGGAGCAGCGAAGGGCAGGGATGCTGACGGCCAGGCAGGGGAGTGAGAGACCCTGTCTCATCGCTCCTGCGGAGACCCAGCTGACAAGCTCTGCTTTCTAACCCCCATTCCCACTTACTGTCCCCGCCCTGCTCCATCCTCCACTCCCTCTGACCGTCTCCCGGGGTTTTCATATCAGCCACAGGTACGAATGCATTTCCCACGGCGGAGCACCGGCCTGCACATCAAAGGGGCGTTCTCACTGGAAAGCGGCGGGGGGCCTGCACCCCACCTTCCCCAGCAGATGTCCTTCCGGCGGGGTCTGCACTCACAGATGTGCTTCCTGGCCTCGCACAGCCCAGACACAGCGCTCAGGGACCTGCCTCTCTGGGCAGCAGCGCTGGGGCAGTCAGCGGCCCTGCCTGCCTGCCTGCCTGCCTGCCAGGGGGTTCGATATTTCCCACGCCGGCGTGTATTCGCCTTCGGGAAGTTACAATACCTACTTCACAACTGTGCACAGAGGTAACAGAGAGCGAGGAGACTTCTGCGGGGGTCTCCTGGGAGTCAGGGAGAGTTGCTTTGCCAGATGTGGCTGCTGAGAAGCAGGTAGCGGATGAGTAAGGCTGAGCTCTGGGGAGGTACCCCAGCCGTGCCCTTCACCAGGTGGTCCACTTGGACAAGTTACCTGCCTCTCAGCCTTAGTTCCGCTGAATGGAAGATGGAGAAAGTAGTTGACCTGCCTCGGGAGTAACTGGAAGGCTGCATGCAGACGGCCTGGGCTTCCTACATCGCAGCTCTTACTTATATTGGGGCTCAGACTGCTGTTCAGGGCCAGATAGACCCCTCAGAGACCCCACCTAACCCAGTTGCTGAATCCCTCCAAAATGGGGATAATGAAATGTCCTTTTTAGGACTGTTGAGAGGCTTACATAAAGTCATGACTGTAAAACACCTAACAGGGTGCCTCTGCATCATAAACATCAGGGAATACTAGTTCCCACTTCTTCCTCAGTTACCAGATGTGTGACCCTGAGCAACTTTTTTGAGCCTCAGAGAGTTGCAAAGATTAACGTTAGCACGTGGGAATTATCTGATAGATAGTGATGAATCGATGTTAACTACACCCTTCCCTTTCAAAACTGCTCACATTTTATTTTTACCTGGAAGCATTCCTACCACGTCTCAATTGCTCAGTATCTCACTTATCCTTTTGTTAGGATCCTGTTATGTGAGTTTGTTTCATTTAAATGTATTTACAACTTTTTCACATTCCCTCGCAAAAATGTATTAAACACGTATTACATAATGTCAGGCACCGTTCTGACATACATGTATTTCTTTGATATGATTTTAAATTCCCAGAAAATAGGAACGTGCTTTTCTTGTGATTTAATCTTTCAACACTTTCTATATGGAGTCATAGTCACAGATTCATTGAGCCAAGAGGACCGGAGACTATACGGTCAACATTCCCACTGTACAGCCAGAGGATAATGGACTCACACACAACTGTGCAAACCTTTCTTGCCATCTGTTCCATGGCATATTGGCAAGTGGCATTAGAAGAGCTTTATAGCCAAGTGTATTTGAGAAATAATGGGTTAAGCAAAGTAAACCATGTTATTTTTTTTAACTGCAAGACTTTTCAGGGCCTTTATTATGTTTCTGAGAATTGGGAATTTCCAAGGGAGGGACAATGCACCCCATTTGTAAAGTGCATTCTGTCAGGAAACCCTTTCTCATACAGAGCCTTTGGGGAACTAGTGATCTGAGACACAGATAGAGAACACGGGGCTGCACCCTGGAAATACAATCAACCAAGTGACCGCCCAGATGAGTGGCTGCAGAGAGGAGACCAGTGCGAACTCATCCTACGCTTGCAGCCAGTCCCCTCCCCAGGTCGAGGAGCTTGTCTTATAGTGCAAACTCAGATGAAAGGGGAACCTGTCACCCCGGTCCCCTCTTCCTGAGTAACTCGCTTGGCGTAGGGAACAGGAAAGCAGACTGATCAGAGCTATGGGGGTACAGTTCTTCCTTCCCGCTTCGACTCAGGCCAACTCCCAGGAGCCTTGGCTGTCTGCACGGTGCTTAAGACCGAGAGAGGCAGGGGCACCGGCCCTTCCTCAGGCCTGGAGTCCAGCTACAGGAGACAGGGATGTGAGGACGGCTGCCTCGCCCTCGCCCTCGCCCTCGCCCTCTGTCCCCACTGTGTGTTCTGAGTCCAAAGGGTGTGCGTTGGGGTGTGAACACAGCTGCCTGGGATGGGGATGGACACAAGCTTGGAGCTCAGGGCGCTCTAGTACCGAGTTCGCTGGAAACAGCTGTTTGAACTTGGGGAAATTATTTTCCTTCTCTAGGCTTCACTTTTTTTAATCTTCAAAACGTGAGAGTTAAATTAAATGGACCCTGTGCAATTCTTCCCATGTTGGGGGGCATGGCAAATCAACCGGGAAGAGCCGGGGATGCCCTCCCTCTTGCTGCCCCCCCCCTCCAGGACCCCGCCTGTGTCTCACTCAGAACTCCCTTCCCCAGGCCCAGCGTCCTGGCGGGAGGCACGGGTGCTGCAGCCGAGCCAGGCCTCTGACCTGGGGGGGTGGGGGTGGGGTGACGGTGTCTCCCTTTGTCTCCAAGCAGCACGTGCGCCCAGCCTGGTGTCCTGTCCGGGCTCCTCACAGCTGCCGTCACCAACCTTAGGGTTAGGTCTTTGCTTGCCTCTGGCTTCGCTTTCCTCTTTTGATGAATACAAAGAACAAAACTAAGGAGGCCTCGTGAGGTGCCAGGCCATTCGCTCGTCAGAAATGCAGTTAATACGCTCTGTGACGAGTTGCCTCACAGACACTGTGCCGGCCGGCGTGGCTCCTGGCCCGGCAGCAGGGTGGGCGCTGTGTTTCCAGCAGCTGTTCCTGGTTCATTTCCCCTCTGAGAGAGATAAGGCTGAAAAGCAGCGGGATCGGGCAGGTGAGGAGAAAGCAGGGCTGGGAGCATCTTGATTGTACGTGAACGTGAGAAGCGGGGCTGTCTTTAAAGGGAGAGAAACATCAATGGTGAGAGAGAATCATTGATCAGCTGTCTCCTGCACGGCCCCCCACTGGGGATTGAGCCCACAGCCCTGGCACCTGCGCCCTTGACTGGAATCAAACCCGGGACCCTTCAGTCCGCAGGCCCACGCTCCATCCACTGAGCCACACCGGCTGGGGTGGAGCTGCGTCTTGGTCAGACAGTGCCACGGCGCTCAGTGGAACTCCAGACCAGCAAGCAGTCGCCAAGCCTTTCTGGGGCCGAGGTGGGTCACGAAGTCTCACTGCTCTTCCGCTGTCACCAGGCGTCTCACTGACGTCAGGGGCATCGGAATTTGAGCTTGGCTGCAGGACACTCCAAAGGGCCGAGGTGCTGGGGGCCAGCCCCAGCGGTCCAGGGGTTCCCAAAGGTGTGGACGGAGTCGGCGAAGAATGTTTTACACAGAGACAGCGTTCAAAACTCTCTAGCTTTCCTTAGTCTCCGTGGATCTTCCCTGTGCCTGGCTGAGGCCACAGAGAGAGCGAGATCCCAAGGCAAGCTGAGCCTTTATTTTATAGTGAGAGGTAAAACAGGTAGTGGTTACCCAAGTTACACTGTTCTTGTGAGTTTCACTTGT